GGCCCACGGGCGCCGAACATCGGCACGAACGAAATGGGTACGGAAAGAGGAGGAAGAGGAGGAGGAGGAGGAGGAGGAGGAGGAGGAGGAGGAGGAGGAGGAGGAGGAGGAGGACCCCCTCCCCCTCCAATTTATGGTGGTGGTGGTGGTGGAAAACAAGCCCACCAGAAGGCGAAGGCCGCCGCCAGAGGGAGCCCGCTTCCGAAGGTGCGCGCGGAGGCGTCCCAAGCCCGTGGGCCCTGGACATCGAGCTGCACGGACGAAAGGGGTACGGAAAGAATGAGTACGATGCCCAACAGCAGTTTTTGTTCATCTTGAACAGGACTCGCTGTCCACGCCGCCGCGGCCTGTGTCAATTCGAGACAGAAGGCCGCCTGCCCAACAGCGGACGTTGTTGGTTTGGGACAACATTTGTTGTTGGGCATTGTGCCCATATTTTCCGTACCCATGTCGGGCGTCCAAAGAACAGATCGGAGGAGGTCCAGGCCCATCGAGGAAGCCCGGTGCTCCAGCGGCTGCCAGAGGCCCAGGAAGCGAGCGGAGAGCCAGGGCAAGACGCGGGAGGCAAGATGAGGCAGGAGGCTGGAGGAGGCGCGAGGGAGCAGGAGGAGGAGGAGCAAATGGGGCAGGAGGAGATGCAGCGGAGGACGAGGAGAAACAGCATATCTATGCTCAGCACGAGTTCCCACCAGGCAAGAGAACAAACTACTTGCGATATCCACATGCTATACACCACGGTAGACCTTTCTACGGACTCGAACATGGTCCAGAATATCATGTGGAGGGCGATGACGGAATAGAAGATCACCAAGAAGAAGTACTTATAGTTAAAATACCCGACGCAGTTGTAGATCCACGGGCAGTGGTGGTCCTGGGTGGGAGGCGCTGGACAAAGACGCACCCGTACGTCCGTCTGGTCGGCTGTCCGCGCCTGCTGCCTTTCCCAGCCGTGCTAAACTGGTCGTAGCCCTCTTGGAAAACAAGATGAACAAATTCGCACAAGCTAGAAGCAACTCGGCAACGGACAATAGTTCACATTACGCACCCACTCAGCGGAACAACCCTGCGGTCTAGCTAGCTTCGGACTCGTTCACTGGTAGAGAGTGTTCAAGCTAATTTATTCCAAAACACCCTCACAAACAACACCCATCCGTCTCCAGCCACTGGGGGAACTGCTCAGTGTTCAGCACCCAGATCCCCATACGCCGTCGGCTTGCACCTTACGGGTGTGTCAGTTCAGATTTGATTGCGCAGCTACTGCTGCACAACACACATGAGTGTAAGCTTCTGTGGTGCCGTCATCGCTGTTATGTTGGCTGTTGGCTCCAACTGGCATGCATGAAACGATCGTTAACCTGACCTCAACTTTCTCAGCGGTGCAGAACTCTGGCCAAGAAGGGACAGCGTTAGACTTCTCAGCTGTCAGCGATGCACTCAACACATGTTCGGCACGTCGCTCGGAGAGCACACACACAAACACACAGCTCGATCCCGCAAGGCCATCGCAGGCAACCATAACAAGGCTCCTTGCAGCCTCCCTGGACAGACAATGTAATCTTCAAAGATGCTCGGGCGAGTTCTGGCAGGCGGGCAACTGACGGCACCCTGGGCGAAAGTCTACACGCATGGTCACATGTTACAGGAAGCGCGCGCCATCAAGCTGAACAATGTTAGCGTGCATGCAAGACTGACTACCGTGCCTGAAGGTTTCGTCAGAATTACGGGTCTCATATAGCTCGTGGCACTACAGCTCTAAAGGGTTCAAAGGACTTTTGAGGGCAGCTGGCCTTCCCTTTGCAAAATCAGCGGGGTTTCCGCCCGCCGGAGGCCCCACCGATGGCTTTTTATGCAGCGGGCAGGCCAGAATAAAGAAACGCATGATCATGTCCGTGCCCCCACCCCTTCTCCTCGCTCCACCTCCTCCTAATCCCCGCCCCTTGTAGTCTGCCTGCCCGTTCTGATTATGCGGGCAGTAAGCGCACTAGTACAGCGGTAACAACAATAATAGTAGTCGTCGTCGTAATAGAACAAGAAGTCGTTGTAGAAGCAACACAACAAAGTAATCAACATCGTGAGGCTTCCCAACGTGGACTCCAAACAATGCATCATTGCACTCTGGCTAACAAGTGAAACGCAAACCATGTGATGCGCGCGAGAGCTTGCAACCGCCAACCAACCAACGCACGGGAAGGGCACAACGCGGGCACCTGGTGAACACTTCGAACTGTAAGGTACATTGAAAGGAATAAGATCACCATTGTACAGACACTGTTTATGCAATCGGTAACATCCTCCTGATCGTCACCTTCACATTCAGTTTCGTATTCGTCTTCACCTTCAGCATCATCATCATCATCAGCATCATCATCATCATCATCATCATCAGCATCATCATCATCATCATCATCATCATCATCATAATCACCACCATCACCATCACCACCACAACCATCATCATCATCAGCAGCATCAACATCAGCATCAGCATCAGCATCAGCATCATCATCATCGCCATCGCTATTGCAATCATCATCATAGTTGCCATCATCATCATCATCATTACCATTACCATCATCATCATCATCATCATCATCATCATCATCATCATCATCATCATCGTCATCATCATCATCATCATCATCATCGTCGTTAGCATCAGCAACATCGTCACCACCCTTATCACCACCATCACCATCATCACCACTTCATCACATCACCCTCATCGGCATCATCATCATCACCATCATCATCATCATCATCATCATCATCATCGTCGTCGTCGTCGTCGTCACCACCACCACAATCATCATCATAATCATCATCAGCATCATCAGCATCATCATCATCATCCTCATCCTCATCGCATCGTTATCGATATCGTCACTATCCTCGCCTGAATCCCAATTATCATCTCCAGAATCGTCCCTGGAACGCCTTCACCATCATTATCATCCTGGTCCACTCACTCTCCTGGAGATACTAATACGGCTCCTCCTCCGCCTCTCTCTGATTCTCTGCTCCTCCTCCTCCCCCACTCCTCCCCTCCTTCTCCGCCTCCCCGGCCCATCCTCATCCTCCCTTTTCCTCCCGATCCTCCCTTCTCCCCCTCGCCATCCAAGCTCCTCCCTCGGGAGGGCGGGTCCATCTTCAGAATGCAGGTCCCGCACACCTTGCAGTGGTGGCACCGGTCTGGCTTGAACCCGCCAGGCCCTTGGAGGGCACGTACCAACATAAAGGTCTCGAGGTCTCGGGAAGGCACGTCCCGGAACGTCGCAGTAGACAGGAAGGCACGTCGCTGCGCTCATAGTGGTCTCCTCCTCGGCCTCCCCATCCTCCTTATCCTCTTCTTCCTCCTCCTCTTCGCCCCCCCTCCCTAGAGAAGGGAGGAAGGTGGGGAGAATGAGCGGCGGCAGGAACATGACAGCAAAACGGCTGCCAATCATATCGATGCTGTTTTTCTATGAGGTCGAGCTCGACTTAAAACAACCATAACCCTCTAGAGAGGAATACCGATGGTAATTAGCTAGCGCAGGCCCCAAATAATGTGTTCTAGCATGCTTTACGATGTGATATGTGCGATGCAGCCATCGCAGTGGGATATCTACCATTCAATCATGCAGTTCCAATCAATGCGGGGCACTGGCCACAATGTATTCCAATCAATGCAGTTCCAATCGATGTAGTTCCAATCGATGCGGAGCGACCTTACGACACACCACATGCATTGCATCATGCTATTATATGCTGTGCTATGCTATGGTCTTCTGTGCTGTGCTATGCTTTGCAAGGCTGTGGGAAACTGTGCTATGCTGTGCTATGCTCTGCCCTTGGACGAGTGCGATTGGACGAGTGCAAATGGCGTCGACGGACGGCGGGGACGGGCGTCGACAGACGGCGACGAGCAGGCCAAACCAGCACCGGGGTCTAGAGCAAGGGACGCAACGAACGGCGGCGACAGGCCGGACCAGCACTGGGGCCCAATGACGTTCGAACACAAGTAAGAGCCCCTGAATGCAAGCACTGTTGGGGGAAGCACGCACAGCCCCAGTGCATGGGGACCTTGTTGACGTTCCTGAGGGCCCACAGACGCCGAAAATGACGAAACAAGTCCGTCGTGACTTTTGTCATTCTTTAGGTTCTGGAGCGGCACAACCACGATCAAATCGGCAAACCCCAACCCTGGGGCACGAAGCGCCTCAAGAGTGCTGCCGGAGGGGGCGCTTGGGTGTTGAGACCGCCCCGGACTAATCGGGGGGCCTGTTGAGGAAAGCTGGTGCTACTGAGGGGGCCTGTTGAGGCCAGCTGGGACTATCTTGGGGGCGGCTATCTGCGCGCAGCCCGAAACCTTACTAACAAAAACAGCAGACGCTGCGAACAACACATATAAGATCGCGAAACATCACAACATGAGCCCTGGACCCAATCTTTCTGCGGCATCTTCGGAGCCAGATCGACATGTAATGACACTGGGGCCCTCAACAAGGAGGCACACTCGCCCGTTGTCAAACATTGCGACGCCAAGATCCTAGGATTCCAGAGTCAGCGCGGCAACTTGGAACACCATGCTCTAGAACAGGAACATACCGTAGACGGATCTACCATTTCTCCGGCCTTGCACTGCACAGGACGAAACGGCCGCGTTGTCTGTAGACGCGTCAACCCCGAATGTGGTCTATAACATACGCAACAACACCCAATGCGTCTGTAGATGCTTGTGGCTATAAAGTGAGAGCGGTACGTCGGGTTTGTGTCGTGTCCACCCAGGCGTTGGTGCCCGACACCGCAGAGATCTTTCAGCCTTGAACAATCGGCCGTTTCCGAAACGTCGGATCGTTCAACATCGCCCGATTCTGGGTCGCCAGCTGCGTTCAAAGTTTATCGCCGGCGGCGGGGTCGCCGCCAGTCGACTAGAGGAACCCAAAAACTGCACAAACGGAGACTATTCGGCGGTGGACGAACCCCCCTTTAGTAGGCCTCCCCTTAGTGAAAAGGGCCCTGGGGCCGAAACCGACGGACCCGGACCCGCAAAAAATGACGGCCCCGCGACGCCCCCTCGCGAACCGAAAACGGCCAAGTCACGAATCGACGTGTCAGTGTAGGAGGTCTATCAACCTCCGAACTATTGGAGGTCCGTGCGGATTTGTCTTGGATCTGCGCTCGACCTTCCCCTCGAGCGGCGGAGCGCGCCAGGGGCGGCGCCCGAGGTGCCGCCGGGGGCACCGGCGCAGATCCAAGAAGCCCGCGCGGAGCTTCGAGAGTTTACGTGCCAGGCCTCCTCCTCCTCCTCCTCCTCGTCCTCCTCCTCCTCCTCATCCTCATCCTCATCCTCCTCCCCCTCCTCATCCTCATCCTCATCCTCATCCTCCTCCCCCTCCTCATCCTCATCCTCATCCTCATCCTCATCCTCATCCTCATCCTCATCCTCATCCTCATCCTCATCCTCATCCTCATCCTCATCCGCATCATCATCATCATCATCATCATCATCATCATCATCATCATCATCATCAGCATCATCATCATCAGCATCATCAGCATCAGCATCAGCATCAGCATCATCAGCATCATCATCATCATCATCATCATCATCATCAGTATCAGCATCATCAGCATCCTCCTCATCCTCCTCCTCCTCATCGTCATCATCATAATCAGCATCATAATCAGCATCAGTATCAGCATCATCACGTTTTTTGTTCCACGTGCATGGGCACGTAGCTGGTTCTCCTGGCGCCTCCTGACGCTGGGAGGCGAGGAGCGTGCCCGGCGGCGGGGTGGACGCAGCCGCGTGCAGCAGATCTCGCCGCCCTCCCTTTCTGTATCATACAGGGCAGTTTTTTATTACATCGAATTTTTGGAATTTGGTTTTTAATTCATGACTTATGTATGAACAAATGTATGCATGCGCTCCTCGTTGTCTTTAATACTAAAACCCTGCATTTTTGATATATGCTCCGCACGCGGAGCATGTATTAAAAACGGCACTGTACAGTCGGACTTCTTTGGACAAGACACACGAGAGGTCAAAAAACCCTTCCGAGGGCCACATGTCCATAGGAACGTATGAAGCATGGGTCGCGAGACACAGGACAAAAGGGTACCCTTGACTTGGCGGGGTCGACCTACTAATCCGGGCCGACTGTAACCATTCGTCCAGCCCGAGACACGGCGCGAACCTACGGTGGGTTCGTGCGGCTTCGGCCTGCGCAAAATTCTTGACACCGCGTCGCTCGTTCAACCTTGAATCGATCTCGGCCTGGATCGGTCGAACTTGAATTCCGTCGGGTCCAATGGCGCTGCCATGTCTGGCCATCGCTCGGACGTCCATTCCCTGTTGGGTTTCGTGCGTGGCCTTTTCGCCAAATGATCAAGGATGCTCCTCGATGGTCCTCGCCGAAGGAAACATGCACACGTCCGAGCGATGCCAAGATGTCCCTCGGTGGCTCCACGTCGCAGAATTCAACCTCGAACACCTTCGCCAGCGTGCAAACGCCGCTTGAACCTACCGCACCGTAGACTTTTGCTCTCCAAGCGCGAGCCTACCGCACAGCCACCCCGCATAGGAAGGAGGAGCACCTCTCTCAGGCTCCCCCTGGCCATCGCTCGGACGTTCATTCTCTGTGCTTTTTTAGGTTTCGTGCCTGGTTTTTTCGCTAAATGATCAAGGATGTTCCTCGATGGTCCTCGCCGAAGGAAAAAATACACACGTCCGAGCGATGCTCAGACCCTTGCACCCTGTGGGAGAACAA